GAGTACCATTAAAAGTATATATATCACACAAAGTAATATAAACAATTGATCTTATTCGGAAGTTACGTTGAAAGTGAACACAGGCATGATGTTTTAACATAGAAAATGTTTTCATTTTGGATACAAAAAACGGAGAATTTGAAAGTTATTTTGGTGTTTATGACCGTTAATTGCTTTCAACAACGAAAAAGCAACAGAAAACTTGCAGTGATAATGTAATATCAAAACACTTCGGCCATCGCCAATTCAAAATAATTAAAGACCTCGAGGATCTACGCCACGCTCCTCTTCTAATACATATTTGAATGAGTTAAGCGTCCTGTAAATATTATTACAACTAGATGAATAGAGTATTATCGTTTGTATATCATTATCTTTGTTGTCATCCCGAGACAATAGAAGAAATTCAACATTGTCCAATAAAAATGCCACTTCTTGGTCAATTACACATCCTATCAATTACCACTTGAAAACTAATATCTAAAAGCACTAATCCAACTTGCATTCCAAGTGTTGTAATTTTAAGGATGGTCTTTATGACGTCAAAAATTAATGAATGAAAGTTAAACTGATAATATCACCGTATATTTAAAACTGGAATATGCAGGGTACTTCCATATATTTATCATGCTTGGCATTGGAAGAGATTATCTACTGGCACAGGTAAATGTAAAAATATTAAGGCAATTCAGGTCAAGTGACATGTAACATCCTATAATACTGATTTTGTGTCTGTTCTAAATTTGAATAACAGACTAAGAACTGGTGACAGTGGGTAAGCGATGAGATTTCGTGGTCAAGCGTTCGGACTCAAAAGGACTTAATAAAACGGGAACATCATCTTTCCCTTTTTCGAATTGTTGTCGCAAATCCGCACGGTAAAATAAAAATGGCCGTATCGTACGCAAAAATGAGAATCATCAAACAGTCTGTTGTCAGAAATTCTCTCAATTAAAACTAGTTCATATATCTCAGGATACGATTTTATAGGCACCCACAGATCGTGCTGAAGCCTGCTTAAGACAGATTTATTGCACATGTTTGTTGAGAGAGATATTTCAGAATGAAACAAAGGAAGATATATTTGAAGTTAGTGGGGCGAGCAGGACAATTTGGCAACACGTTCCCATGGCAGGGAATATAATGTGGGCAACAGTCTTGGAGTAGTATAATATGTAGCATATATTATATAAAATAGAAAAAACCTGGTGCATTTTATTTGAGGAGCTATATTATAAAGTTTAATTGAATGTGTGAATTTTATGTACAAAGCCCTCGCCACTAATGCAAATACGTGATTTGAAAAAAACACCCCCGCCACGTTTCAAAAAATAAATTAGTTATTAGTTAGGGATAGGAAGGATTTGAATATGCATTCCTAGCTCTCACGTTAACTCTAGCTAAATAATTACTATTTTTTTTTTTAATATGCTGAGATGTGGCTTGGGTATTTTTGTTGGCGCGAGCTTTGTCCAAAAGATTCAAAATTTTAACAAAACTGAGTTTGCTAGTACGTACGACTTGTTTACTGTCAAAAACATGAAAGAAATAACTCAATATTGTTATGATTATATGACAAAAGTTTAAATACACATCCTATTGTCTTCAATACAGTCTGCCAGCAATAAATAGTGACCCCACCTTATCATTTCTCCGCACCCCTAAATAGCATGTCGGTGACGGATAGTCGCGCGTAATATGTATTCATAAGCATTATCTTCCGGGGTTAAATCAAAATGAAGGTTACCAACGAGTGATATACTTTGAAAAAGCCAAATCGCTAAAAAAATTTCAAAATGGGAAACCAAAATTTTGCAATGCTGAAGTATAGGAAGAATTTTCTGAATTCAAGATCGGGGAAGTATCCATTCACGCTCGGACAAAGTTGTAATTTTAGATATTTCTACATTCTATGACGTTGAGAAAGGTTTGGAAATTAATTACGACTCAGTAAATAGAATTATATTTGCACTAATTTATTCAATCTAGGGTTATCAACCTAAAAATATATTACGCAAAAATATGTGTAGTCCTCTACTAGTAAATTATGTTATAGAATATTAAACACTAGTTTTTTTCATCTGAATATCTTACCTTCACAAGCCTTATTTTGAAATTTTCTGACTTTATATTATTTTCGTAAGAGTGTATACATCCCCAGCAAAATATTTCATTTAAATTTGGCACTTACCTTCAGATAATACAACGGACAACTGGCTGTCTATATGACTATGTCTAATCCTGGGCGTTCTTTCTAAAGGAGGAATTGTATTTATAAAATGTCTACATCTGCGAATGGATTGCAGATATAACTCAAACCAACACTCGTTTAAAAGTCGTACGACCTTTATGCCCGAATTGTATAATATAATACATATTCAGTCTAGCATTAAAATTGAAAATAATTGTCAAGCTTCCATGACTTGACAAAACATCAGACAATTTATTAATGAGCTTCATAATAATTTGAGTATCCATCATGAATTTCTATAAATATATGTTGTGGTTAGCCGCTCACGAGGTATAATTTCCTTTTTCATTACTTTTGAACGAACAACACTTTTCATCGGTGCATCAAAATAAATCTATTTTACCTGGCGACACCCAAATAATTTGTCTTAGTCACTATAATAAATTAATTAGAATCTAGATCGCACAAAGGGTAGGGTTCAAAAAATGAACTTCTAATCTGACCATAATTTATAAAAATATGGCATGCGAGTAATAATGATGAAGAATTCGTATTTAATAAATAACCTACTGATTTTCTTTTCAGAAATTGCTTTTACGACAAAAAATTTTAGCCACAGAATCATTTCATAATAAGTCATTGGAAATAATTGAACAGTGATGAATAGTTTTGTAAAATTTTACAGCTGGCATGACTTTTATTTATATGTATTATTTAAGGAAACATTTTTCAATTTTTTATTTCTATTGATAAAACACGAAATTAATATTGTTGAATTATATATGTTTACTTTACGACGGATAGAATATAGCTTCCTGAATCTGTCATCTTTTGTGTGGTTTATGGTCTGTATTCTATAAAAGCGGTGTTGTCAACGGACACAAAAAACAGTCGCTGATTGCGCCAGGAAATGCACGTTACAATTTAACGCAGATGGGGAAAGTATTATAGCACTGAGTCATCTAAAATGCGGTGTGCTTCGTATAATTTAGTTGATAGTTGTCCAGTTCGCTGTCCCAGATGTGATCAGTCTACACCAGGGGGGGGGGGGGGGGCAACCTGCTTTCGACCGCAATCGAATATCTACAATCTACAAAATAGCTCGCAATCGACTGATCGGGAATAAAGTCATATATACATGAAATCGAATGAGTTCTGAATATGTAAATAACTGTACACACGCATTTAAAAAATTCCACCGCTGCCAATAAGCTAGGCCATGTGGGCGCATTTTTTTATGAAATGTTCCTTTTGATTATGTGACTGTACCCGGAGTAAATTATCATCATCTATTTGAGATTTATGCGAATCATACAATTCAGATCTGATGCCTGTCTAATTTTTAGTCGTTAGTGTTGAAAATTCCTCAAAAAACCTTGTTAAGTATCCATATAACCTGGACAGCGATAAAAAAAAATATTCTAAAACCATAGATGTTACATGACTCCTAAAACTTCAGTATCCTATTTACAAATTCCTCCAAGTTCAATTCTCCGCTCGCTTGGAATTAGAAGAAAATTTGGCATGCTGATGCCAATGCTATCGTTGCGAATACACTACTCTTGAAGTGAGACAATAACTTTCGCATACTGCAGAAGTTATTGTAGGATCGTTTTCGGTCAAGACACACGGTATTCGGCAAGTTCATTTCGAAACTTTGGCAGCGGCGACCCTTTTATTTGTTATGTAATAATATTCTCTGTCGAGCTTGAACAGATTGAATACCGTATGTGTATTGTGTATATCGTATTTTGCGCATGTATTCGTTCTGTTTTAAGACACAACAGGCGCTGCATGAAACTGTTTCATGACAAAATTTTGGGGTATCATTAAATTCACTCAACTTCAGACGCGATCGACTACTCGAGACGTGATGATCACTTCCACCACGGAATACCAACTTAGATACACAGAATTATCAACTATCATACAAATCAACGGAGCGTGAAAACAACTTTTTGAGGGGGCGCTGCGATTTTGCTTTGTGTTTGCATGTGTTCGGAGTCCTAGACGGTAGATGATCTGGGGACACGGTACTAAAGTAGGTTTGAATATGTCAGTGTTTTAGCGAACACTATAGACTAGTTTTAAACGATATCTGGTCCTTCGACGGTACTGAAGTACCGGTACGGGTGCACTACTAATCAGTAATTTATTTTTTCATCATACTGAAAACACACTGGAAATACAGAAAATTACAATAAATATGAAAAATGCGTTTCAGGGCGAAGGGAGCCGCGAAAAACCAAGATAGGTTATCGAGCAGCGGCACCATTGAAATAGTCTAACAGATAATAATAACAAAGATTCGAACTATGTAATATGTTATTTGAAAGGTACAATAAATACGTCAAAGCCACCTGGTGTGCCCAGAATTCGCGCGTTTTAACAACTACAAAAAAGACGACCCCGTGCACTGGCACTCCGTGTTGCTGGGAGCGTCCGTGAAAGGTTAATTCTAGTTGCGCGCTAACCTTTGGTTTTAATCATTTTATACTTTGAATACGCAATGTTATTTTTTGTATTATTTTCAATATATTTCTGTTGCTATATTTACCCATTTCTCTGTGGTATGGGCTATACTTGGCATAATCAATTTTAATGGTACTCTAATAAAACTGAAATGTTGGAAGTTTGACTGACAAAACCTACAGACATAATAATTAGCCGCATCAATTCCTAGAAGACAAATGAAATTATTTCCTGATAAACAGAACATGTTTTTAGTATATAGTTATTTTCCATTTAATTGTATTGATTAAATAACAAATTTATTTTATCTCGTGTGTATCAATTGCAGTATTAACAACCAGATAGGAACATTTGTCCACGTATTTGGACGATATCAACTACCATGCGTTATTCTTCATTTTTTGTATCTGCTTTGTTAATTGATGCTTTTTATTACGTCACACCGGGAAGTATTGAATCAGGTGGGTATCAATTGAAAACTGAAACTCGTCAATAGTATCCTAATATGCAAACTAAGCTATTATCCTGAATAGCTAAATATTCATTTGCTAAATATAGAGCTAATATACTTGGTTTCCACTTTATGACTTAAATCAATTATGCATTTTCTAAATAAATATTTAATTAGCGACCCGAATATATTCAGATTTTGGACACGGTGACGAATATGCCTCGGAATGCATGAGAGCGGCAAAAAAAAAAGTACATCGAGCAATTCAAAGAACGAAAATACGATGGGGAAGGGACGTAAGTGATGGACAAATTGTAATAAAATTGTTTATGCACCGCTTAGGAAATTCGATGTTTCTAATCACAGTTAACTTATACGTCCAACAAAGAGCTTTGTTCGGCCTCGTTCACTGTAATAAAAACGTGTTGGGATTGAAATACTCACATAGCGCGCGTGGGTTCAACCCTGCGCTAATTTTTGTGGGAAAATGGTGAGAAGTCTGCATAGCACACAACTCTCTATTTGCGTCTAATCACATTTTCATGGTTTTACTAATATATATTCTGTCTTAATAACTCAATCAAAATAAGATTTAGCTTTCGAAGTTCTCACACACTGCTATAAATAGGATGAAATAAGAACCGACTAATGAATTCTTAAAATCTTACGAAACGAAAATATATTAACCCATAGTTAAAGTTATAACACATAGCATACTAAATGACAATAGATGAAGATAAGTTATAGGTAATACATTCGATCTTGCTTCCACACTATTTTCTGTATATCATATATATATATATATCATGTAAGCAATATTAGGAATATCGCGTTGCTTTAAAAAGGGTAGATATAGTCCTGCAAATCGGCATTGATTGATCTGTATTCGAATCCGATTCTATTATTGTTCTTATATATACATTTGAATAGGATGTTTGGAAAAACAGCATGGATTTGTTTGAATTTTTCAAAAGACCGCCAACGCCAGAATCTTTCGAAATAGCTCGTGCTGCAGACGTTTTTGAAACAACAGTCAACTTTGTTCATGATAAACTCCAAAATAGTCGGTAAGTGAATCTATGAAGAATGCTAAAATGTCATCAACAACTTGACTAATTTGCTTCCTCTTACGTACGGTTATTCTTTCACTCAGCTACTATCTATGACTTGCTGGTTTTTACAACCGCACAGCAGTCAATCTCACGTCAAATTCAGTATTAATTGTTTGAATATGCAGCCAAAGTAATTTGTTTCCATAGGGCTGTCTATTCCGAACCAAATAGTAAACTATTCGAATCGGTTCAGAGCAAAATTTTGAATTGCCGCCATCTTGTTTTTTTTCCGCCAATGGTCGATGTGAATTTCTCAAATTTTTTTTTTTATATATATATAAGTCATATTTTTTCAACTCAATTCTTTTTGCTCTATTATAATTTATTTTTAATTTGGAAAACGTTGATGGATTCTAGGGTGAAGAGGCGAGTGAATGCGACTGATGTTTTATCGTCTGAAACATTACAAGAACTCGCCAGATTTGCGGGATGCAAAGGTAATAAAAAGCTAAAAGAATGTCCCCGTACGTGCCAGGCTAATAAATATAGGTGAGTCATATTTTCTTTTTTACTAAAGTTTTTCGAAAATATTAATCACGTCAAGAAGCTTTTGCTTGGTTCCGCATGTTTCATAAGGTTTTAATGATATCTAACCACAAATATTTCAGAACTATAAACGGAGAATGCAATAATCTGAACATGCGCCACTGGGGGGCGTCAAACAATCCGTTCGAAAGGTGGCTTCCATCACAATATGAGAACAATTTTAATCTCCCTATGGGTTGGGATACAGAGCGACGAAGAAATGGTTTCAAGTTGCCAATGGTCAGAAAATTATCCAACGACATTATGCACACAGCCAATACAAATGTGACTGGTGAGTTGTGATTCAAACATTTTAGTTCAATATAGTTTATTTTTCAATGCTGTTGCAATTTGCCTCTTGTTTGAATTTTGTTGTTTTCGATATTATTATTATTGGGGGGAATTTTCGCCTGACTATACGGGGCTAATTTTTCTCAATTTTGCTCGAATAATAAAGTGTATCTTATGGGCTTATTTTCATGTTATCTTGGATTCTTTGGTTTTACCCATATTTTCAGTTTGAATGTCCCGCTTCTTAGGTTTTCCGATTCCAGCGGATGCTTCTGGTGCTTCACATTAGCGTATTTATATTTGTGCGTTAGCTCATGCTCAATTTGAAATTTCAATTCAATCATTTTTGGTTTATGTCATTTAAATTATGACCCCATTTGCTCTTTCGAATCAAACTATTTATCACGTTATTACTTGAAAATTCAAGCACACTATTGTTCTTCAATTTGTCACTGAATAATTAAACCGATATCGTTATAAAGTTGTGCCCTGACTTACGTTAGTAAAAATACAACCCGATATTATGATGACAACGAGGTGATGCAAGGTTTTAAATGAACATTTTGTTATGGTATTCATATCAAAATGAAGATTATTTCGATTTAGGTTATACACCCCCGTGGTAGAACTTTATATTTTTCTTTTTATAAACATTGGAGCGGTATTAATTTTTTTTTATATTACAATACATTACAGACGACAGCCTTTACTCTCACATGCTTGTTGTATGGGGGCAATACATCGATCATGACTTCGACTTGACGCCACAAAGCCTCAGTACATCCACATTTCAAGGATTAACCGACTGCAAAACGACGTGCACAAACTCGCCTCCGTGTTTCCCCATAATGGTGAGTATATTTATGGCAAGAAAGCGATGTTCAAATATATGGACATAAAGACCAAAACGAAGTAGTAGGCTACCTAGTACGGGTATGTAATCTGTCGCAGTAAACTGTCGTTACCTTACCACAGCTAACCACCAGATATAAACTTATAATTAATAGTAAATGTACTCACAAACAACTTTTGACATACAGATCCCAGGTGATGACCAAAGAATTCGAAGCGCGCGATGCATGCCATTTTTCAGATCTGCAGCAGTGTGCGGTACTGGGGAAACTTCAGGATTTTTCAACGGGTTGTTGCCACGAGAACAAATCAATGCTGTAACATCGTTCGTAGATGCAAGCACTGTGAGATTTTTTTACTTCGATGTAACTGTACTCCTAAAATCATGTATTATAAAAAATGAAGCTTAAACAAATCCGAAATTATTAAAAATTAAGCACTTAAAAAATAAAATTGGAGTCGTTGCCAGTGGTTCAAAAGATAAAAAAAAATAAGCATTTTTTTTCAAGTTTCATTACAAGTTACAAATTTATTTGAAAATTTTCCCCACACAAAAATTTTTGTAATCGTATTTAACATTACTAAAGGTTTATGGAAGCACCGAAGCTATGGCAGAATCTTTAAGAGATCGGAAAACGGGAGGAGGTCTCATGTTGGTAAACGACAAATTTAAAGGTGAGTTTTTGGCTTTGTAGTGAGATCATGTAGAATTGTAGGGAGATCTTTATTAAAAAATTTGGCAGTTTTCCTAAAAAATACGCTTTTATTTGACACGTGTAACAGACACACAAATGACTAGATATTTGACGTCGAATTCCGTCAGGGAACCTAATAAATAATACCACTGCTATAGATTAGGATTGCCGTATGACCGTTTTCCTGGTTATGTCTATGTAATCTGATACTGATTACGTGCGGTCTGGCCTTAAATTAGTTGTTTCAACACTCAAAATGGCGAGGGTTGACTATACAGTACGACATTAGGTATTGAATAATCTCCCTCAATCGAGATTTTTTGCTTGATATAAGATATAAAATAAACGAATTAAACCAGCAATTTAATCAGAAAATCAGGACGCTAGAATGTATCACAAGTATTAAAGAATTGGAGACGCTTTCCACTTAAAAATATATATCATCTTCGTCAAAGTGATTATATAAAAAATTGTCCGGAATAATGCTATTCGATATATTGCAACCCCAATTTAATTTTGCTATAGCACTGATAAACAATTAAAAATTTCGTTATTTACATAGACAATGGCAGAGAATATCTACCTTTCAATCCAAATAACCCATGTGTTCAAGACCCTTCGGATGCAAGCGGAGAGAAAATTCCCTGTTTTCATGCAGGAGATGGAAGGTTGGCTATTATTTTCGCCGTTTTGCTTATGGCCTTACTTTTTGTCTTTATAAAACGTGCTTTGTAATTACTACTCTAATGGTTACTCATATGCGTGTTTTAGACATAAACAGCACATTTTAATTTTCTCAAGAAAAATGAAATCTAGGCTGCCAATTGTTGATACAAAATTGAGTTTGCTATTGGTTGCTTACTTTGGACATCGCGAAATGATAGAGTATCTTTTACCGTGTATTCATTGTTTCACTAACAGGGTATCCGAGCATCTGACTCTTTCAGGATTACATACATTATGGCTTAGAGAACATAACAGACTTGCCCGCGCCCTAAAAATGGTTAACCCCCACTGGCACGAAGAAAAACTCTATCAAGAAGCCAGAAAAATAGTTGGTTCTCTACATCAAGTCGTTCAATACAGGTAACTTACTAAATGCTATTTCTCGTCACATAAATTTTTTCAATCGCTTGGAAGTTAGTAGTAACAAAAATAGGATTATAAGTCATTAGTTACGTAACAAAGACGCGATGTCGCAATCATGCGGTTTACTAGAACCCCGTTCCGTAAAGAAGGGGCAACTTACTACTTTACCAACTTTCTCTCCAAATAATTCAGATAGTGAAATGTGAAGTGAAATGGCGAAATGAATGAAAATTTAAATAGCTTATCAAGGTTTAATCGCAACATGACCTCCTTTCAGGGAATACATTCCAAAGGTCATTGGAGCGAGAGGTGTACAAATGATGGGAAACTATAACGGGTATTCTTCTTCTGCAAATCCGTCAATTTCAAATGTTTTTGCTACAGCGGCGTTTCGATTTGGCCATGTCACTATTGCACCGATGTTCCGACGACTGAATGAAAGTTATCAAGAACATCAGAGATATAAAAATATTTTTCTTCATAAAGCTTTCTTTTCACCATGGAGAATCATACGCGAAGGTGGATTTGATCCAATATTTAGAGGTAAATTCATAAAGTCATAGTCACAAGCAGACAGTTTATCGGGGGCTTGAGGGGCCATGGCATTCCCCCCATTGTTTTCATTTCTTTCTTTTTTTAATGCAATTCCGCGGTATTTTCAGCAAGACATAAAGTCATACGTCTTTTCCAAAAACAGTTTGCTCCATTCTTCAACGATCCACTGAAAATTGGACTTTTCCTTGCTTGCTATCAATAATCTCTTAAGGCTTAAGCCAATGATCCAAACGAGATAGAAGAAACTGTACGCTTATATGCCTCGGATAACTCCGACAGCGAAGTAGGCTACATCTGTAGAGCGATTCTTCAAGATATTGTTAGATATCAGCGGCTAATTTTATCGGAATCTGTTCAGAGCAAAAGGCACGAGTGAGCGTCGTATTAACCCATTATACAAAAATTGCCCCCTACCCCCACATTTAGGGCTGGCTAAGTTCTTCAAAACCATTCCGAATGATTGAATACAGAGAAAAAGTTAAGATTCTATACTGTGTAAATGTTACATACAAATACATTACATACATTATTCAGGTCTAATAGGAAAACCGGCAAAACTTGCAACTCCAACGCAAATCATGCACGAGGAACTCAGGGAAAAGTTGTTTCAACTTCAAAACAAGGTATATTGTTGTATTTTCAACACGCGAAAAAACATATATTGTATTTTGATTATTTTCTCACTAGTTTTGAATTTCAATTTTTTTTGCAAGTAATTGTGTAACTTTGTAAATTATTTTTACATTTTTCAAGGTGGCGCTCGATCTTTCTTCCCTCAATTTACAAAGAGGACGAGACCATGCTTTACCATTGTACAACGACTGGCGTGAATTTTGTAACATGTCAAGAGTGGGTAATTTCAGCGAGGTGATGAATGAAATAAGAGACGAGGGAGTTAGAAGAAAGTTGGAGGAATTATACGGTCATCCAGGGTTTGTGTAGATTAGTATTCAAAAGTAGCTGCAAATGATGTGTATAACTGCTGTTCACAATTATCTTCAAATTTACAAAACTGGAAGAATATATGCATATATATATAAGGACTACTAGACCAGGGTTCTCCAACACGCGGCCCGCGGGCCACATGCGACCCGCGAGGCAATTTTTTGCGGTCCGCGTCATGGTTGGGGATTTTTCCACAATGAAACTAAAATAGCACGATGTCAACTATGAGTAAGTTTTATCGTGTTATTTCTTAACATCAAGAGTCCGACAAACTGTAAAAAGTCAAATTCCCTTCTGTTATTTCACTTTACCACGTTCCTATTTTTATCTGTGGATGTTTCCCCGTGCACTGATTTCCTTGTTTATATCCGTAACAATTACAAATCGGCAATAAGTCTATCTAACAATAACGTAACAATTGGAATTTATGCCCGGCTCAGACACTTCTTTCGCTCAAACATATTACAAGCGTGATTGTAAACATTGTTGCCTCTTTTGGTAGTTTTTTAGTCCATCCCATCTCCTTTTCAGTTTTTAGTTATTTCCAAAAATTAGTTGAAAATCAACTGACTTAATTATCACTGTGACTTCTGTGGACCTTTAGTTTAGTTACAATAATCCAAAATTGATACCGCAAACGCTGCGATATACTTAGCCTACAATGGCACGTGGTTTATTGTTTTGCATAAAAATGGTAGGTTGAACATGTGAGCCAGTTTGTAAGCGACAACTCTCCAAAACACTCTCACATTCAGCCTTGATTAGGGACAATCTTTCAGGGTTCAAAGGCCGGGGAAACGTCCATTGTAATAATAAAATTGTGATTCAATAATTTCATTTTGCAATTTTATTATGACGAAATAAACAAATTTCGACCAGATCATTGAAGTATGCAGTTATCAATCATCATTAATTCCATAAGTAAGATGAGTGCGAAATCGTCGCGTCCATTCGTTGATATTTTAAAGAGTGTATTTTAATGGCTTGTGAAGTAACATCAGCAATTTTTTTCAACAATAATCGACCAGATCATTGAAGTATGCAGTTATCAATCATCATTAATTCCATAAGTAAGATGAGTGCGAAATCGTCGCGTCCATTCGTTGATATTTTAAAGAGTGTATTTTAATGGCTTGTGAAGTAACATCAGCAATTTTTTTCAACAATAAAAGTTAACAAATCATCCTTTCGCACACGACTAACGGACGAGCATTTGCATGCTGTCTTAAAACTAGCAAACCAACGCAATGATTCATGTCTCGTTAGATTAAAGTTAATTCAAGTGTAATTTTAACCAAAAAACATTACTTTCGTTATTTTTTGTGTATCAATTTTGTACCTAGTTTGCGGCCCGCATAGCCAATAAAGTTTAAAAAGTGGCCCGCTACCTATTTTGACGAGTTCCATAGTGGTGATAACTTAGTCAGTTAAAAACCATCCCACGCGGGAAAATACGAGCAGTAAGTGCTCGTTGGCAGAATGTCATGGTCTAGCGAGCTGGCGAGAGAGACTCCATCCGAAACACCATTGAAGTTTTAATAAACGTTTAACAAAAAAGCTTTATCATGTTCATCATAATGTTAAAAACTTTGAAAAGTATTGAAATAATTTCCTATTTATAAAAATACCCACAACGATAACCCGAAAAAATAATATATATTCGGTGACCAACTCACCATAAAAGGTTATGTTAAAATTGTTGTTCGTTTATGTCCCTTTTTTTTTGCATTTGTTCATAAGACAAAAGTTTATTAGTGAACTACACGCTTCAAGAACTGCGTAGTCTTATTTACGCTGGTACCTTGAATATTTTGTATATCGATCTTCCAGATTAAGTGTGTAACCTTGGTTATGTATTCGTTATAAAATATATGTTTCCAAACTAAATAGGATATATAATATTTTTAATCTGAATCAAGTGAAAATTATTTCTATACATAATGGTGAATAGTTCGACTCTTTTCGTGTTTAGAAACATAGATCTTTGGCTTGCTGGATTGGTTGAAGACCTTATAGAAGGATCAAGAGTTGGTCCAATATTTATGTGTTTATTGGCAAAACAGTTTAAATACCAAAGAGATGGAGATCGCTTCTTTTATCTGAACAATGGAGTCCATACACAAGCTCAGGTGTGTAGTCTGGGGCTGATTCATTTATTTTTGTAAAGTCATTAATTAATATATAGTGATTTCACAGTTTCGGGTATCTTTATTCCATTTTACAGAGGAACGCGCTCGAAAATGTGAGACTTGCTCACGTTATTTGTGCGAACACCGGCCTGAAGAAAGTACAACTAGATGCATTTCGAGTTGCAACTTTTCCGAGAGATTTTGTGGATTGTAATACGCTCAGGCCACTAAACCTCGAACCTTGGAGAGAAACTAATCAAAGTGAGAATTGAGAGTACAATGATATCTATATTATAAATTATTTTGGAAAAAATTATCTTATGCAATAGGTATTTTAAACACTCAATTTCTTCCAGTTCTCAAACCCCAAATTCCGCAAATGTTCGTTAATTGATGTTTATGCAAAAACTGCAGATTTATTCAATTAGTTTTTCGTGCAAACTGTAAACCCGCCATCTAGCAAATCATTCAGATCGCAGGTTCATTTGCATCTTGAATATGATTACGAGGACTTTAAATTTATCACAGAAAGAGCAAATTCATGTCTTGTTATTTGATAATGATTGTTAATGATAACTTCTTACATATTTTTCAATATATTTCACAACAGTCGGTAATTGCGGAAAACCAAGGGATATTACAAACGGAGTTTGGTCTTTTGTGTGATTCCAACACAGTAACATATATGTGTAACAAAGGATATCAACTACAAGGATCGGAAGAAGTAGATTGCATGAGTTCTGGACAATACAACAGAAATCCACCACAGTGCAACGGTAGGTAAATAAAGATTTTAGGTACAAAAGGAAATTAAATAACATAACGTCAAAGTAGTAGGCAGTTTAGCTGGTATTTTATCTTTAGTGTTTCGTTTTGTTACATTACGCTGTCTATATTATTCGCAGATATAAATGAATGTTCAATGAATAACGGTGGATGTATGGTAAGATGTACAAACACGCCTGGAAGCTATATGTGTGCGTGCGGAGAAAACCAAAAATTAAACGAGGATGGAAATTCTTGCAGCGATGAAAAGGTGAAGTTATATACGTAGGATTTATTTACTTGATAAAACATACTTGAGAATTTACAAAAAATGGCAATGCGTTGACATAGTATATAGCAAACTTCCAAAGTTGTGCAATTCTCGTTTGTTTATAATGAACTAATTCAGACATGACGAATCAAATGTAGAGAAACTTCCCCTGGTAGATTTATGTACTCTCGTAGTATGTGAACCAAGATGACGGACACCGGAACGTAGTATGTGTACCAGATTAGGATCAGGCCATAATTTCAAGTACAAATATCACGGGAGTCACTTGGCTAGTCCCCGGACTCGTAATAGAACTATAATGAGGAAAATTGGAATAATATTATGGCCAAACTCTAACCTGGTACACTTACTACGTTCCGGTGTCCGCCATCTTGGTTCGCATACTTCAGGAGTACCAGATTTCTTGTATCAGGAAAATAATCTCGACAGAAGGCTAATAAAGCATTTCAAATTTCTCACAATTTCAATAATGCATTTCATGCACTCAATTTACATTTATAATAATACATTAAATGTATTCAATCTAAATATAATACCTGACGATAATACCGAACAGCATCAGTTTTTGCAGAAGAATATTTCGAAAAAAAAATCTACATCACGATTTGGAGTAGGCAATTAATGCATTTTTATGTCACAGCCTGACGACGGACCAAATGTGGTAGCGATTGTGACAGGAGTAGTTCTTGGAGTAGCAGTAGTAGGCGTTTTTATTGCACTCTCGGTTGGAATATATAAATATACGTAAGTAGTAAAATTTACGTCTATTTATGCAAAATTTAAATTCAGAGAAGAATAAAATGAAAATGATAGAATACTATACATGCTATTTTAACTAATGCTATGCGTTCAAAACAGTTCTCCTACAATTTAATGCAATCCGCGGTATTATGTGGTCATCTGTTGAAGAGAACACATTCCAAGGCCACGTTCAATTCATTATGCCCACTGAATTACGCCTATCCTAGTAGTAAATGTCGTTAAGTAACAGAAAATTGAATGCTGAACATTAAATGTAACTTTGTTTATTTTTTATTTTGCTCAGAAAACTCCAAATGATGATGAAGCCAAATTCAAGATTTAAAATTACCGACAGTATAGATGACGATCTTCCGTCAAGAACAGGAGTTGATAATCCAGCTGCCTCGACTGATAAAATGTAAAAAGTGCCAAAAAATTAAGCTTTGTGCTTTTTCAAAACTTCCACGGAATTTCAATTCACATATTACAGATATACCGAATTGCTATTTAACTCGCCTGATTCGACTGAAATTTTTTCAAATGTGATATCAAAAGAGATATTTGAATAGTAGAAAGAAATTGTAAGTCAGTATAATTATCTTGTTATTTCAACATTGACAATTTGTCAAGAGTATACTTAGAAAGCATCTACTCACATTGTAGAGTTGGCTGAAAAGTGTAATACTCAAGGACAATAAATACCTCGTTATGTTCTGCTTCTTTCTGATATTCAAAAATTTGCCAATGGAAATATGCATACATAGTTAAAGTTTTCGTAAACTTTAAAAACTGCGACACAATCACCAACATAAGCAGTAAATAATGTCATTGTGGCAATTATTCCCGTTGGTAGTAATTGTCTTGATATTTTACTACTAAAAACCACTGGTATTATTTTTTTTATTATATATTTTATTTTTACCCACCATCATGATCTTATAAGCATTTGCTTATAGTAAATATTAAAAACTCATTTTGCAAACGATTACATGGTTTGTTTATATATATAAGAATGAAAAAGTGATAAGAATTGCAGTATAGAGCATAGTGACTTACCAGCATGTTTAACTTAATTCATATAATCTATTAATGTTGATGTGGGCGTTGCATTGTATGATTCATATTACTCGTCTGATCTGAAAATGAGTTATATTTTTCGGATCCTTTGTCTATTCGGATCTGGAGAAACTTGATTTTTTTCTGTAAATTGGTTTACAATTTACTCCGGAAAAACATAACCGACAAATGTTCATGTTATGGTAAACATATTCAAGAAAAAAATAAACTGACGAAAACACTTGGAACGATCTCCAAAAATTGATAGAGGTGATTCCTTCCATATAACTTGAAGAAAATTTGAGTTCATCCTGCCCATAGGTCCAGACAGGGCGCCTTACAGAAATTTTCAGAAAGCAGAATATCATGAAACGTGATATAGATTCTATTCGTACATTCATATGCGGTATATCGTAGGAAATATTTGTCTTGTCCGCATCGGAATTCTCGGACTAGCCTTATATTGTTATCGATGACAGTGGCTATATTTCTTTATAGACAGTAAATGCTGTTTTTCTTAATGAATTGTCTAGCAACAAATTAGCTTCAATATTGTTGAGAAATAATCACATTTACGTTACGTGGATTGTCTAATAAAGCCTATCTAAGCTATCCAGTACCTTCTTTCAATATTTGCTAGAGCAGATACTTGACCAGATGTTATGTTGTTAGTTTGCGAGTTAGCAGTAAAGGTGAATAAACTAATTTTAAAAGCTTCCATGTATGACGGAGGCATATCATTATTTTCAAAAACTATTTGCTAAAGTAAACTTGCGAAAGTTTAATTCATCCAGATGTTTTGCACATAATTTATACTGAAACCTACGCTATTAATATTAAAATATTCAGTATAGGTTTCATATATTTAGTTTTGCTATTTCAAATTTCAGCTACTAAATTACGCGTTGAAGGTTTCAATGAAAATCATCCGTCTGAGAACGATTCGTCTAAAATACATTGTATAACTGTTAATTTCGTTGCTCTCTATGTTCCTGGCAATGTCTATGGTTCACTCACTGGTTAGATATGTTATGATTGATACCCTACTTGTGACTCGGAAAAGGAGCATATACTTGTAACTCAGGAGTACAGTGAGAGGAATGGACAATCGCACTTGGACTTAACTGTAATGAATGGTGCTTCAGTTTATACCTGCACGTTTAAATATTGTATATACCTCATAATATTATTCAAAACGTTCCAACAATGTAACTTCCCAACATAAGATCAATGATCAATTATTGGTTTCACAGTACAGATGTCTTCCTCGTATGGACACCTGCAGTCAATGTAATCAAGTGCGTTACTTTTGATGGTTTGTTGATCGTCAGAATGTAAAATGTCAGAAACTCTTTCTATTAGAACAGTTGGTATGGAGTAAAAAGTGGAATTCCAACGTAATTGTCCACATTAACATAGTATATTGTTTGTGAGTCGATTTTGTTGACAAGTTCGGGTACAAGAAAAACTGTCGAAAACATTTCGATGAGTTGCAGCTTCACAGGTTCAAGCTGACCCTCGAATCCATCAACGATGTTCGCAGAGTACACGTCAAGGGAAAGTTGCTCTTCTAGGTATTTTTCCATTGCTGCAAAATCCTGCTCCTTAAATAAATCATCGGGAGAACGAAAGTAGCATGTTTTACCATATTGACATTGCAAGGCGGTAATCTTACAAAAATAACTGGAGACAGCGAGTTCAAATTGGGAAACGGAGAGCATCATTAGTTCTGATATACTATCTGAAAATAAAAATCCAAATAAGAGCAATGGTGTGGGATTCGAGAATTTGTAACAACGCTCATTTTATTACATCGCCCGAACATTTCATTGGTGTGAAACTCTACCATAAATTGCTCTCGACAATATCCCTCAATCTTTGAAATTAAAAAGACGTAATTAAAAATTGAAATACTTTCCACTTTCATCCATGCAAAAGGGCCAAATTTATATAATTTCCCCTACTTATCTAAGCGCTATTTTCAGTATATTATTCTGT